GGGGTGATTGTGTTGTTCTGCATTGAACTGATATGTAAATATTTACGTAGTCACCCGCATTAACTGTCATTCTACCAGAAAAGGGGGCAGGTAGAGAGAGGGCTGCCAAAATCACACGTCTAAGCTTTTTGTTTGAACATTTGGAAGATCTGCTCCTCTTCGTCTGAGCGTATCTGTTGTACCTGCGCAGGCAGCTGCACACCTGCATTTCTGTTTACACTCCTGCTGGTATGACGTCAGCCACTCATGCTGCAGAAGCCTCGTCCAGGATGACCTGGCCTTCATGTACATATGAAATCCAGAGTTGAAGGGTGATTTCATAGCCTTGTAAACCATCTGTTGACAGACGTTTCAAAAATGTAAAACCTCCCTGCTTGGCTTGATTTCCTTTGAGCCTTTTTTTTCTTTTAGATTTTACAGTCTCGCTCTTCAGATGCTAACCTTCTATCTTTCCCTCTTGCCTTTGACCTTTGACACCCATCGTGAACTCAATGTGAGCACTTTTCATGATTTAGCAGTGTTTGCTCAGATGGGTGCACATGCAACTGTGCAGGCATACACACACCGGGCTAACTGACAAGGTCACATATGGGATGTGCTCCTAAACTCTGGATCATTTTACAAGTGTAAATATTAGTCAATGTCAGGAGCGTTTACACAGTAATGGTAGTCCTTCAGCTCTACTTTACTTGGAGCACTTTTTCTCTCCTCCTCTCCCTTGAGCCTCTTTTCTCGCAACCTTCTTCCTATCACTCCCCTCTTGTTCGATGCTCATGTAATCCCCCATTTCTCATTACCCAATCTGCTCTCCTGTTTTCCGCGTCTGCTTTTGAGCACCAGTAGTCTCTGACAAGACCCAGTCTTATTCCAGACATCCCAATTTCCCCACATTGAAATCCCCCTCGTCTTATTCTCCGGACAAAATGTGATTAATCTTTCCATTAACTGATCCACTGTCACTGGATTGTTGAGGAATACTTATAATACAACCTCAACCATCCTCCAGGGAGACACCTAATCTTCAGGCCATCTTCCAGACCTCTCAAACAAAATGCTTTTGTGCACCACATGCCTGAAACAGCTGTCATCCAATGTGGGTTTGATTGTCATGAAATCTGCCCACAGTCTAACTCTGGTGAGAAGAGCGAATAGCAGAAAGTTAATGTTTCAAAAAAACAACAACAACTTGAAACTGGAGAGTTTAAAAGACATCGTTTCACAAAAGGCACATTCACAGCTCCTTTGTTAAATACACCTGTTCAGCTGCTCGTTATGCAAATATCTAATCAGCTAATCACATGGAAGCTAGTTAATGCATTTAAGCAT